ATCACAAACCTGCTTCTGACATTTAAAGCTACGTCTTATGTCAGCTGATCTTAAAATGAAAAGAGAACTCCAAATGTGCATAATATACAGAAAAATAGGACCCTGCATCTTATGATACACAGGTTTTGCTGGTCAAGGCATCTTCAGTGTATAAGCTTATCACCAACTCAAAGGCTGTCTCTAAAGAAAACATAATCACCCAGTGTCACAGCTTGCGCTTGTTAACATGATAGCAAGATAGATTCATGTCTTGGCAGTAGCATTAAGTTTTTAAAAATTTATTTGCAGAATCCAGAATTTTCTTTCTCTCTACTTTTTTTTATTATTATTATTATTATTTTTATTTTTAGATGGAGCCTTGCTCTGTTGCCCAGGCTGGACTGGAGAGCAGTGGTGTAATCTTGGCTCACTGCAGCCTCACAACCTCTCAGGTCCAAGCAATTCTCCTGCCTCAGCCTCCCAAGTAGTTGGGACTACAGGCACCTGCCATCACTCCCAGCTAATTTTTGTATTTTTTGTAGAGATGGGGTTTCACCATGTCGGCCAGGCTGGTCACAAAACTACTGACCTCAGGCGATCCACCTGCCTCAGCCTCCGGAAGTGCTGGGATCACAGGCATGAGCCACCACATTCAGCCAGAATCCTTTCTTGTTTAAAAATATATATCCAAATAATTTTTATAACCTAAAAATAATACTCTAACTATATAGCTGAACATATGTTCAACTTTTTTCTTTCTTTTTGAAATAGTCTTGCTCTGTCGCCCAGGCTGGAGTGCAGTAAGCAATCACAGCTCACTACAGGCCTGACCTCTCAGGCTCAAGCGATCCTCCCACTTCAGCCACTCAAGTAGCAGAACTATAGGCATGCACCACCACACCTAGCTAATTTTTGTATTTTTTGTAAAGATGGGGTTTCACCATGTTGCCCAGCCTGATCTCAAATTCCTGAACACAAGCCTTGGCCTCCCAAAGTACTGGGATTAGAGGCATGAGCCACTGTAATGGCCATTCATCTTTTATCTGTCAGGAAATTTCAGATTTCAGGGCAAGATTTTCCTTTCAGAAGCTAACATTAGGCAAGAGAAAATTAATAACAAACTTTTTTTCTCATGTATATTCTAAGTATATGCTGCTGAGATCAGCTTTGACACACTTGTGAACTGAAGGCTCATTCACTTAATGAGAGGAAGTGCTGTGGTTATAGAGCTGATTTCTTACTTTGTTGAAAAATCACATGATAAACAATACTGAAATTACTGAACATCAACTCCAAATGCACATTACAACACTTCCTGATTTGATGAATAAAACAGTAAAAAACAGAAACTTCTTGTCATTCTATGCATTCTTTCACAGTAACTATGAACATGAGAAAATATCTTCATACTTGATGGATGAAGCATCTATACAAAGCCCTATTAAGTAACAATGGTGAACCAAAAGCATTCTTTGTTCTCTAGCCTCTACAGTATGTGTATGTGTTAAAAATTCTTCACTGCCTAGCTAGGCATGGGGGCACACAATTGTAATTCCAGCTACTCAGGAATTTCAGCTACTCAAGCGAGGTAAGAAAATCACTTGATGCCAGGAGTTCAAAGCTGCAGTGTGCAACTACTGTGCCAGAGTATAGCCATTGCACTCCAGCCCGGGCAACACAGGGAGACCCCTAGCTCTAAAAAAAACAAACAAATTCTTCACTGTCAGCTTATGAGATAGTAATGTCTAGTCCTAGCACACAAAAGTCTGAAAGGGCGCAGGCTATAAGCTGGGATGCTAACATCCTGGGTCAACCCTGAAGGTATCTTGGGTGGGTTGCTTCATCTGATACAGTACCACCAGTATTGTCACTAGTTCTACAAGTAAGGCACATACCCCAAAGGCAGCGAGTCATAAGCAGTGCTCAGTTTCAGTAAGATAATCACAAACTCCTTTAGGAAAGAGAACTACTTCAACATGAGGAATGTGAAACCTAAAAATAAGCAGACTGTAAAACAGCAGAACAAAACCCTAATAACCTGGCTAAGTTGGATCTTTAGACACAGTATTTTAGCAAAGTGTTGTTGGCTAAAGTAAAAATGAGAAAGATCTGGATGATAAAGAAAATGATGAATAAAGAAAGCAAGGACCAGCTTGCAGAAGAGGCTTTTCTAATAAAGGAAATGTAGCCCACAACTCAGGTTTCTATAAGCAAGAGGCATTTTTTTCTACACCTGTCCTATAGAAAGAGTAAAATGGCTTGTTTCTCACCATAACCATGAAGCAGGTCATAGTTTATCTACAACTTTTTTTTTCTTTTTTGAGACAGGGTCTCACTCTGTTGCCCAGGCAGAAGCACAGTGGCACAAACTTGGCTTACTGCAGCCTTGACTTCCCAGGCTCAGGTGATCCTCCCACCTCAGCCTCCCAAGTAGCTGGGATTACAGAGGTGTTCCACCACACCCAGATTAGTTTTTGTATTTTTTTTTTTTACAGAGACAGGTTTTCGCCACGTTGCCCAGGCTGGTCTCCAACTTCTGAGCTCAAGCAATCCTCCCACTTTGGCCTTCCAAAGTGCTGAGATTACAGGTGTGAGCCCCTATGCCTGGCCTGCGATACAATTAAGAGGATAAATACATGAACTTCTGATATATCTTTTTAGTGCATGATTTTTTTCTCCTTCTGTAACATAAGACATACAACTCTAGAAATAAAGCCGGGAAACTCTAGAAATGAAACCATCCATGTCTGGGAATACAATCTGACAGGTAAAGTTCAATATGCCTTTTAAGGACAACATCCTCTCTTCTAAAGTACTTCATACTAACCATTCATCGATCACTCTTAGGCTTCGATAGAGACAGAGGGCTTCTTAACTCCAGACTGCCAGGCTTTGGTAAAGACAGAAATTCAAAATTTACTTTCTTTTTTTTTTGAGACAGGGTCTTGCTTTGTCACGCGGGCTGGAGCGCAACAGCGTGACCTCGGCTCACTGAAGCCTCAAACTCCCAGGCTCAGGTGATCCTCAGCCTTCCAAGTAGCTGGGACTATAGGTAAGCACCACCATGCCTGGCTAATTTTTTTTTTTTTAGTAGAGATAAGGTTTCATCGTGTTGCCTAGGCTGGTCTTGAACTCCTGAACTCAAGAAATCCACCTGCCTCAACCTCCCAAAGTATTAGCATTATAAGTGTAAGTCACTGCACTTGGCCCACAACTTTCATATGTCCTCCCATTGTTATAAGCTAATAACAATACCAGTTGTAAGTATGGCCTAATACATTTTTTACCTTTTTGACCCACCAAAGTGTTTTGAGGATACCTTTAAATAAGAGCAATGAGATTTCTCAAAGAAAAGCGTATACCACAGCAGCATTTATTAGGCAGATTCATGTGATCTTGACACATCAATATTTTTCCCCATTACTCTGTAATGCTAGAGCAATCTACCTTGGAGACCAATTTTTCCCAGCAAGACTATCTAGAAATACCACTTTCTGAATTTATCCCAGTATTATGAAATATCTTCAGCTCTTGAAGACAAAACTCTGTTTCCACAATGGGCTTTATCTTGTTTTCCACTTTCTATTAATAAATTCTCTTGCTTTTATGCAAAACTTTCTAGACTGCCATCTTTATTCTGAAACCTTGCTACAATGTGATGAGTATCACATAACATTGTAAAATAGAACCTAGTAGGGTAGGTCTAGCTTAAAGTCTATTAAGGTCTATTTTAATAACTAAGGTATCAAATATACACAATAACAGAACTTGCTCATAAGCTCCATGGTGTAGGGCATGAAGTCGACACCTTCATGTGCTCCTTCCACTGTTCTGTCAGATAATGCCAACTTAACTAAACTCTGAACCTTGTTTTAGGAGAACCAACGTACTCACAATTTTTCAAAAATCTTTTTATCCTGAATTAATTATTACTCATAGGATGTGGTAAAAATTGCACGAAGAGTCTCACATACACTTCAAATCATTTTCTCCAGAGGTGACATCTTTTTTTTTTTTGAGACGGAGTTTCGCTCTTGTTACCCAGGCTGGAGTGCAATGGCGCAATCTCGGCTCACCGCAACCTCCACCTCCTGGGTTCAGGCAATTCTCCTGCCTCAGCCTCCTGAGTAGCTGGGATTACAGGCACGCGCCACCATGCCCAGCTAA